GTTCTGGAGCTGCTGAAGTGCTTCCTAGAGCCTCGCATAATCTAAACTGTGCGCCTCCACTTTCTTGCATTGGTTCCATCATAGCAAAGTGACCTCACAGTGTCAAGAGAACACAAATAACGATTGAGAAAGCATTTAGAAGTATATATTTTAAAAACTGAACATCTGTTTGCAAGTGGACCTAGGATCCCTCCTTACCCATTCTCATGTGTCATCATTGGAGCCTATTATATCTAATGCTCTGTCCATGTCCCTCAGTTTTGACCTCTGGCCCTTGGTGTTCCATGGTTGCATTAGGATCTCACTCTTCAAACTTTGGTTTCCTCCCCTGGCCTCTGGTTTGCCTGCATCTCTGCCTCTCGGTTCCCTTGGTTGTCTCTTCCAGGAATCTGTTGCTTCCACTCTGCCCAGTGAAAGGCAAACCTCACTAGGGAACTATGTCACCATCCTGGTCCAACCAGCCACAGACACCTCCTGGAAAAGTAGTTCAAATGTGTTCTCATCTTGTTTGTTTGTTAATATGTTTTTACTGATTTCAGAGAGAGGAAGAGAGAGGGAGAAATATCAATGAGAGAGAAACATGGAGCGGCTGCCTCCTGCGCGCCCCCTTCTGGGGACTGAGCCGCAACCTGGGCATGTGCCCTGACTGGAAATGAACCTGCCACCTCCTGGCACTTGGAACGACACTCAACCACTAAGCAACACTGGCCAGGCATGTTCTCATCTTTGAACTAGGCTCTCTGCCTTCTGGTTTCTCTTTCTTCCAATTTACTATCAATGTGAACACTTAAGAATAGAAATCAGACCCTCCATTTTTTCAGTAAATGTCTGCAATGTTTCCTCATAACCTTCAGGATAAAGTCCAGATTGTTCATTCTCCAAGCCTAGGACAGCAAGCTATCAGGAGCCACAGGCCCAGTGAGACAGTGATACGTGTTTCTCCACACTTCCTACATCGCATAGGTAAAAACTATTATAGTGAATCCATTTTGGAATGTCTCAGAGAATCACCAGTTGGGTGTTTTTCGGGGGAAGAAAATGGAAAAGAGAATTGAGAAATGCTTGTTAATGCTATGGATACACATCAGTACTGGGATTAACAAGCCATTTGAAAGTTCAGTACTTCATATCCTATGCATCGGATTTACAGTTTTGACTTATACATGTCTAGATTGCATCTAATGTTTAATCAATTGGACACTTACAAATAACGGGTAAATGATTTGTTGTCAGACAGAGTTGAGCTCTGCTTCTCATGCAGCGAGAACAATATTTTGGTTTGAACACTTATGCAATTGATTGCAAATTTTGGAGTGATATAATTTAAATGGATCTCAACAGTCCATTAGCCGCATCCGTGCCTACCCTCTTGCCAAGCCGTGGCTCTACGCTAAGCTGTTGTGGACCGTGTTACATAATCCCCTGCATTCGTCTTCTCTACCTACTTAGCTCGACTGCACACAAGGTGACTGCATTGTCTCTCTAACCTCCTTCCCAGGGTAAACACTAAGTGTAGGAACACAGACTTTGGGCAGCATTACATTTTTCTAATGGAGACTTTGGAGAATTGAAGGGGCTTAGAAATATGGGTTTGTCACTGTTTGGTTTTGCACCTTTTAGTTGTGCTCACTGTCGGCTTAGTATGGTTTTCAAGGTGAGTAGGAAGTGCTCGTGCCTCAGCTACTGGGAGGAAATTGAGACAGATTGGGATCTTAGGGGAAAGGTCAGCCGTGAGGGTATTCAAAGGGGCAACTTCTTCAAGGTCCTCCCTCTCTCTCCCACCAGGCCCCTTATTTGCCCTTGTAAAGAGCGGGCCAGGCACCACCAATGCCTCTCTTCCCGGTAACAATCAGTATCCCATGAATGAAAAATGACATACTTTTACTTATCTACAATATGATTCAGGGTGTAGCTTTCTGTTGTCTATTGTTTGTTGACAAGTGGAGGGAGATGCCCAGGTGGCTCCCTCCAGTCCAGGGAAAAGGTAAACTGGGAAAATTCGTCATTGAATGGAGAAACTGGGAAGGTTGTGAACTGTTGCAGCCGTTTTCATTAGATACTTGCAAAAGTATGTATTCCCCTACGTTTGGTTAATTTGCATGGAGGTTAGCCTAAATATGTGTGTGATTTACATAGATCTCTTTTCTCACATTGGTTTTATTTCTTGTTTATTAATAGTGATATTCTTTTCTCTACAATGCTGTCATTTTTCCTCGATGGCCTTCCGCATGAAACAAGTTCTTTTCTTTTAAACACACCTGGATTCCAGGGGAGGAAGGGAAACATTTCTTGTGTTGCAGGAGAGTGATTTAGGTTGGGGGTGGGGAGCTAGGTTTTTGGCTCCAATTAGGCGAGCTTTGGCATGGTTTGTAAGTCAGTACGCAGTTGCATGAAATTATTCCTGTTTGTTGAGAAGTAGAGAAGGAGCATGTGGCATATCCAGAGTGATGGGCAAAGGGAAAGGTAACTGATATTTAGAGAAAAGTCCAGAGGCTCTAGAAGTCCAAAATGACACTAACTGTCTTAGGCGACTCACTTATCCCTGGTCACCAGTTTCTTCCTTAATCAAACAAGGGTATTAAATTGGCCAATCGCTAACATCCCTTATATCTCTAAAATTTATTATTTTTACAGACTCCCTGGCCTAATGATATGAAATGTATTAAGTACCATGTGGCACATTAAATAATATCCCGGTTCCTTGCTGTTCTGTGCCAAGCCTTCCCCCTTTAAAGGGCATATGCCTGATTTAAGCTTCTCTTTAAAGGTCTCCTTTCCTTGCTTGTTTATCTGCTCAGTAACTTAGATATTTATAGAAGATCCCCATTAATATACCATGTGTGGGGCCAAGGACAGGCATAGTCGTTGGCTCTGCACATTTGTGTCTGTGGGAAGAGCGCTTAGTGGTGATGACTTCATTTGACTTCCATCTTCTACTCTATCAGAGTCACCTCCAGCGCTACTGAGCAAGGGCTTGTCCAGTTGCATTTTAACAAAGCCATTTCTTTAGAAATGAGAGGAGAGATTGGAACAATAGGCAGAGCACTCGGGTTTGGTTGGGCCTGTTTGGAACATAACAATAGTGTCAAATTTCTATTCTATGAATTTTTGGGGTTATTTTGGTAAAATGCATCAGGCATAGGTTATGTGCTGAGTAGTACTTGCACCTTGTAGTGTATGTGTAAGAGACACCGTGGTTGTTTATAAGTGGACAGATCCCTTTTGCTTATACCAGTGTGTGTGTGCAAACAGAAATATGCAGGTAGACCCACGTCATTGAGGCCACTAAGAACATACAGGACAAACCTCATCTCTTCTTTAACTCTCTGGGGTATGAAGTTGAGTTTCATGTTTTAATGACGTCATGATGCTAAAATGAATTTAATAGTATGTAGTGAGTGGTCATCTCTCCACATTATAAGTGTGACAGGTTCCTTTACAGCTCTTGCCTCAGGATGAGAAAATACTCATTTCATTTTACTTAAGTGGCTGACTATGGGCTGTGATGGTGGATAAGAGTCTGAGTTTGGGTGGAATTGGCTTTGGTTGATAAGGCTGAAGCGTAATTCTAGAAGGGAAAATAGAATTCTCACAATCTTATTTTGTAGCCCCCACTCCTTAGAGGGAAACTGAATATCTAATCTGGTTTTATTGCCCATTTCCTTTCATTAATGAGGTGCTTTTGGTAGCTTTTGACTAACCCTGATATGAAGTTGGCCACTCTAAGTGAGGCTTCCAGACAGCATGACAAATGGAAGTCTACGTGCAGTATGTCGAAATTATACATCAAAGCAACAAAGGATTAAATAAAATACATTCCATCCTCTTGCCTTAAAAAATATACCCTTGAAACTACCTGGTAAGCCAGGCTCACGTTTAGGATTTTGGATTCCTCGGAGTTCTGCACTGGAAAATGCTAGCACAGGGAGAACAAGCCCTTCTGGTGCTTAGCCTGTGTCCTGTCCCCTCCTCTTCCCACCTTTGGCTCCACCCTATATCACAAGGGGTCTGTTGTAAATGCACATGGATGCCCCAGCCCAAGTGGCCACGCTCTGTCCAAAGCCTTGCAAACAGCCCTGCAGGGCTCTCCCTCGGACCCTGAGGCATCCACATTGACAGCTATTCCTCCAGAAAACAGATCCGGGGGAGAGCTCGGCACAAGCCCAGGAAACACGCTTGGGGCTTTCGGGTAGAGAATTACAGGATCCCGGTGTCTGGAAAATGGTCTTTGAAAGAGAGTATGGCTCCAGCAGAATGTCATCCTGGCCTTGTGGACTCCTAGCCCTATGGGGACAGATGGTCTCACCGGGGCCATCTAAAACAGGAGACCCCAGAGCAGAGGCCCCTTGGAGTCTGAGGGAGGCACTGCCTTCTTGTCCAAGCATGTTACCAAATTTCATTCTGTTCCCTTTTCCTCGCCTGCTTGGTCAGCTTCTCAAGTACAACCTCCTTGTTAGCGACCTAGTCCTGTTCCCCTGGGCTTAGGACTCAGCCATGGAAACCAAAGTTAACTGGGTTATTGATGGATACGAATCGGAGCCAGATCTTTCAGGTTAATTGATTTTTAGTTTTTGGTCGATAAAAGTTACCTAGAGCTAAAACACCCTTTGTCAGAACAGTTCATTATTCACTCGAAACCAGCTCTTCTACAAGCACTTGAAAGCCATCATCGAAGCAAACATGATGTAAACCTTACTTTACCGTTTCGCGTGAAATTTCCCTTTAGGTTTTTGTTGGAGAAAATCTGAAGGAAAGGCAGCCAGCTCTCCTGCGCCGTTGTGTTGGTTTCTCCCCTCGTGTGGCCGCAGAGCGCCCCTGCGGTGTCCTGCCCCCCGGCTTTCCTTGTCCCTAGCTCTAAGCCTTCTGGAAGAGCTGGAGGGCGGGCAGTGCTGGTGTCCGCCGCCGGGGCGCCTTCTCTCCGGTGTTTGCAGAGGCCACTCTGGCTCAGGCCAGCCGACCGCTGATTGAGGCCTTCCCTCCTTTTCTCCCTGCAGCTCGAGAGGAGAACGTGGCCACCTTCCGGGGCTCCGAGTACCTGTGCTACGACCTGTCTCAGAACCCCATCCAGAGCAGCAGCGACGAAATCACCCTCTCCTTCAAGACCTGGCAGCGCAACGGGCTCATCCTGCACACGGGCAAGTCGGCCGACTATGTCAACCTGGCTCTGAAGGATGGCGCGGTCTCCTTGGTCATTAACCTGGGGTCCGGGGCCTTTGAGGCCATCGTGGAGCCAGTGAACGGAAAATTCAACGACAACGCCTGGCACGACGTGAAAGTGACTCGCAACCTCCGGCAGGTAATGCTGAGGGCGGAGCGTGCCTGCGGGCGCATCCTGGGTAGTCAGGGGGACAGTCTGTGGAGCAGGCGAGGGATGGGCTGGGGACCGGGAGAGGGATGGGTTTGGATCCGGGGAAGCCTAACTTTCCCCCGGTCTTTGCAATTTCACAAGGAAAATTATTAAACTGTGCTTCGTCCTGAACTTCACTTCTCCAGTTATGCCTGTTATTTAAGAAAGAATTCAGTTGTCTAGGTAATAAAAGTTATAAGTACTTTCATTCCTTTTTTCTGCATTCCTTTTAATCATTTTCTTAACCGCACATTTGACTCTTGTATGACTGTTCAGTTCAATCAGAGGCGGCGTTTGGTTTTTGCAGCTAGGTAGGCTTTGCCCATTCTTTAAGTTTTTCTTTTTAATTAAGTTAGCCATTGCCATGATGCCATAATTTTAAATCCCTCTAGAAAAAGTCTCTTTTAACCCTCTTCCCTTTCTTTTACCACCCCTCACCCAGTTTGTTTGGTTTTTTGTTTGTTGTTTTTTTTTTGGTTGTGGTGCTAACCTCTAGCCTTGCAATGAATAAGCTGGCATCTTTCTGAATTCCTCTGTTTCTCTGTTCCTTGGCCGGTGGTCCTACTTTATTGCCCATGTCTCTAACTCCAAGACTCTTCAGTTGATTGGGAGGCCTGGAAAGTGGAAGGACCCAAATAGAAAAGTCAACTTTGGAGCAGCCTGTCCTGGTTCTGGCCGTGCTTGGGAACTCCCATCGCTTGCCGATGCTAAGCAGGCAACTCCGTCAGGTGACGACACGCTCAGAAAGCCTCGGCACAGTGAAGTCGGTTCAATTTCATAACGAATAACAACAATAATAACACCTAACCAGCCCGCTTCGGTTCAAAAAAGCTTTTCCTATAAAAGTCTAGATTTGTGCTGAGACTGCCTTTCCCAGGTTGCTATTTTCACTTGGCTTTTCTTCTGGTGAATTTCTCATTAAACCCAGTTGGGCAGCATCCATCCTTTATTCATCAGAAAACATTATGCAAATGTCTAGAAAGTGCTTATCAAATTTTCTTCTGCGATGTGATTGATTTAATGCCTTCTAAGGTAAATATGAAAGCATAAGAACTGACAGGTGCTTGCATGTTTTCTGTTTGATAAAAGTGTAACTCCTTAATAATGGTGAATAAATGGAGAAGGCTCACACACATTGAAAACGCACAATATTCGAAACACCTTTTCCATACTTAAGTGTGTCAAGAAAGCCACCTGGCTGGGGAATTCTACTCTATCTGTGGTGAAGTCATTAAATAACACAAGACTTAGAGTCCCCAGTCATCTTAATACACATAGATTGAACTTTAAAAAAAAAATCATTACCCAAAGATATATTTATTGATTTTTTAGAGGGAGGGAGGGAGAGAGAGAGAGAGAGAGAAACATCAATGTGAGAGAGAAACATTAATCAGTTGCCACCTGTATGCACCCTGACTGGGGATCGAACCCACAACCTAAGCATGTGCCCTGACTGGGAATAGAACCTGCAAACTTTTGGTTCTGGGATGATGCTCCAATCAACTGAGCCACCTGGCCAGGGCTGGATTGAACATTTTTGAATCACTGCTCTATGTTTTTTCCTCCAAGGCCAAAGAACCCTATTGCTGCTGTTTTTCTTCATCATTTCCCATCTATACTTACTCAAAAGAGAGCTTCTCAACTGTCAAGAGATTCCCAAGTCAAATTTCCTTTTGCTACCATGCAAGGGCTTGATATACTTGAGTTGCAGAGTCTAGACCAAGTGAACTATGACCTTTTGCCAGTTTTGACTGGCAGGTGCACAGTAACACCCTGTAGACATTCCCTAGTGGAGGGGAGAATTTTCATGTGGTGGGGTTCTACCATCCAATCTGTTTTTCTAATTCTCTCCTGCCCCCCACACTTCCTTGCCATTCCAGAAATGATTTCAATTAGCTGGAGAAAGGCTCACTTTTATTTCTACTAAAAACACTCTTCCAAGGTAGAATCGGGCCCCAATTCAGTCCTTAAACTGAGAGGGGGATAAACCAAACTGTAATTCAGATATTGGCTGTACAGTTGAACCCACAAGCAGAGGAAAGCAGCCCCGGAGGGTTTCTTTTCCAAGGTCTAAGACCCAACTCCTCTCTGTGCCCTTGGATAAGCCATTTAACCTTTCTTCACCACTGTTGCCATTTGTGAAATGGTGATTACTACCCTCCCCAGCCATGTGCGGTGGCGCAATATGCAAAGTACCTTATGTTCCAGAAGGATTATGAGCTCATCCATGGTCTGGGTGCTAGACTCGCTGTGACATGCACATGATTTACAGGCCAAGTGTTTTGTTACGAAGGTGACTGTGTCTGTGACCAAGGATGCAGCTAAGCCGAGCTCTCAGTTCTAGAGGAGGCTACAGAGGCCCTAGGGCATTCTGGCATTTCTTGGTAAAGGGAGTATGAATCTCCTGGAGAAAGTGCACCCAAGATTGGACCTCCCTGAAATCCTGACTGAATTTTGCATCCAAATACAATTTATTAAAAGAGGGACATCTCAGAGGAGCAGAGTTGATTTTGTAAATGCAATCCTTTCAACTCTGAATCATCTAATATTTTTCCCACTTAAAATACATTTATGACATATTTTTTGTTCCCTAGGATACATTTGTAGGGGTGGGAAGCTCCTGTCTATTTCAATTAAACTGTAGATGGCTTCATAAATATTTGATAACAAACTTATAGCAGTCTCATCTACTTTTTTGTAAGGTTGAGTGGCTTCTGTGCCCAAAATTCATTTGAGGAAAGCTTACTTGGAGCTCATTACCAAATGGGGTAGAACTTCCCCCATTTCTTCCTTCATGGTCATCTCCTTATGTTTCTGCTTTTGAGCCAAGTCAGGGCCATGAGCAGGTACTTTATTGGGGGTACTGATTAAAGGGAGGAGTGGGGACTGCCTGTTCCAAACCATCACTAGGACTAAGGACCAAGGTCATCAGGTATTTTGGTGGGATTTTTTGTTTGGTTTTGCTTTGTTTTTGTGGTCTACGACCTTGCCTGAATCCAAGGTCATGGCCATCACATGAATTGCTTTACCTCTATATGCCACTTGTGCCAAACCACAAACACAAAACTGGGGTTACCAGCCACCCAGCCTCCCAGCCTCCCAGCCTCCCAGCCTCCCAGTCTCCCAGCTCAGGGCGTGTTGACCATTTAGCATTCGGAAACAGCAAGGAGCCGGCTAATCGCCGTGCCTCTGGTCTCACGTTTGACCTGCAGGCCTCTGCCCCCCATCGATACCAGAACTTGCTTAAAATGCTTCAAAGCTTGCAAAGCTTTCTTAAGAAGGAATGCGGAGGAGGAAGAGTGGTTCCCACAGCAAAGACAAAATCGGACTGAAAACTTCATTGGGTAATAGAAAAGACGTCAACTATTTTGAAGTATTCTAACCACACAGTTATTCTACACTGAGAGAAAAAAAGAGGCAATTGTTCCCCTCCTGCTGCACAAATCCATACAAAAGCAGTGGGGTCGCAGGCCTTTACCCAACCCTCAGAATCCTAGAGTAAGGTACATAACGTAGCCTCCCTGTGCTAGACGTGACGGGCAGATATTTTAAGCTATTTCCATTCTAGGAGACAATCATTTTCATGATTGTCTAGGCGTGTGGTCAGGATCAGGTGTGAAGAACGAAATCCCCAACGTATTGGTATTTCTGCTCTGTCTATCTATGGGTGTCTTCTCTGGGGACAGGCGGGATGTGTGTTGTTGGAGGGTGGGAAGGGAAAGGAGGTGGTGTCCTTTCAGGGGAGCCCTTGGAAAGTAAGTATGATGCTAATTCTAACCGGGGTGAGGTCTGACCTGAGGGGCATCCGGAAGAAGCGGGGAGCTGGAAATGACAAGGCGGACTGCACCCCCTTTCCTGGCCGTGCCCGGGGGGCCGAGGTTTTCCATGGAGTCCTGGTCTCATTGTCTTCCCCACTCTCTTTTTCTGTGTCGGGTGCCTTTTTTTTTGAAAAACTAACACAAGATCATTCATGCAATGTGTCATTTTACTAACCGACTAATGTACTAACACCCTAACGACTCATCTTTGTCTTTTAGTTTCTTTAATTAACAATCGTTCTGTTCACAATTTTTAATTTCCTTTCTTCCCCCCTTTCCGCAAAAGCACTCAGGCATCGGACACGCTATGGTAAACAAACTCCATTGTCTGGTAGATATCATTCTAATTGTCTCTCCTTTTGGGTTTGCCGTGTGTCGCCCCCTCCCCCCGACCCCTCTTCTATCCTCTTTAGACTTGTTTCTTCTGTTATATTTTTTTGTTGAATCCAATGCAAGTTTTTTCTTTAAAAAAAAAAGTAAAGCAAGGGGATGCACCTGTCCTGCAAATGATATTTGGACAGGTTTGGTTGGAATGGTTTCTCCAGTTAGGAATTTTTTTTTCTCTCCCCCTCAAAAATATTTTTTGAAGGAAAGTTTCTCCATTTAGCTAAATTTGTTTTGCTTTGTTTTCTTATGTTGCAACTTTGAAGTCACAGACTAGGGTCGACAAGGCTTACGTCGAGGACTTTCCTGAGCTCCGTGGCCTCCCACCCCTCGCCCGCCTCCTCTCTTTTACTCTCCCCACCGCTTTCTCCCCTCTTTCTTTCCCTGAGTGGCCGTGGCTGCCACGGGCCACCCGGCCTGGGAGGAGCCTGCCCTGCTTCCCGTGACCTTCTCTCCCCTTCTCCCACCTCACCCCCGCCGTGGCCAAAGGGCGCCCGGCCACCGTGTCCTCTGCCCAGCCCCTGCATGGCATGTTCCTGTCTCGTGGGCTTCCCCGTTGGCACTGGAACCCTTTCCCTCATTGTCCTCATGACTAACAACCTCCCAAGGTATCCACCTGAGTCCACTTTCCTCTCTCTCTCTCTTTTATTTGTCTCCACTCTTTTACACTCCATTCATCCTTCATATATTTGGGGGTTGGGTTTGGACTTTTTCTTTCCTTTTTTTCAGCGAGGGAGGTGGCAGGCAGGGGAAACAGGACCCTTTAGTTTTGAGTGTTTTCTGTTTTTTCCCACACCCATCTTGGTTTTCCCTTGGTGCATGCAAGGGTGAAGTGATTCTGACCCTTTCCTTTAGCTTCCCCCCCCTCCCGCTTCCCCCCCTTTTCTTCGGCCTTCTCTGGGCTGCAGATAACTTCTGCATGGGTGTGTCGGCGTATGGTGTGTGCACGCTCCGAGGCCCATCTCTCCCCTCTGCCCCCTGCTCCCTTCATGGATGTGGGGTGCGGGCGCCCTTTCTCCCTGTGGGCGTTATTGGTGCTGTTTTGGTTACTAAGCGTCATCACTCATGTCTTTTTGTTTGCATTGCCTCTTTGGTTTGGGTCGTTTCTTCTCTCGGTGGCGGTGATGGCAGCGGGGGGAGGGCAGGGGCTGGCGTCCCGGGGGAGTCGTGGCATGTATCACCCATGACACATCACGATCGAGACCCTTCTTCTTCCCTCCCTGGATGCATGTTTGTCAGCGTGGTGTGAGCCCCAAAAGAAACAAATAAACGAGAAAAGAAAAAAGAAAAGAAAAAACCATCAGCCAAAGACCAACCCCGAACAAACCCATCGTCAAATGTCTCCTTTGCTGTTTCTCACTGCCACCATAATTAACGATCATTACAAAAAATAAACGACCATTTTTCCCATGAACTGAGACAAGTGATGTCGTCTGAGGGCAGTTCCATTTTCTAGCCTGACTGAGTGAGGAGCGCAGGGCGGAGCCCGTGGCTCGGCTGGGCAGCTCCAACAAGCGCTCCGAGGAGCCTGCAGGGGGTGCTGCAGGCGTGGGCACGGGGAAGGCAGACCAGAAAATGGAACTTGGCTGCACATACCCAAATCAAACCAAATTAGAAAGAATACGTCACCAAAATCTTAATGAAAGTGAAGCCACAGGTGGGGGAAGCCACCGGATTTTGACAGGACTATAAGGTCATTGTTGGGATTTTTTTTTTTTTTTT